TAAAATAAAAAATAGCTGGTTCTCATTTGTTCATTTAACCAGACTTCATTTTGGCAGTGCAAGTAAAATCAAAATGAATGCAGTTATCTCAGATATTTTCAAATGGCATAGTATGGTCTATACTGGGACAAGGGAGACCTGGAAATAAACCACAGTTCTAACATTCAGAAGCTTTACTGTTCATCAATTTTTTAAATTTCAGTATATATTAGTTCAGTAATCTATAAAATGCACATGGAGAATATGGAGATAATTTATTTGACTCACAAACTATATATTAGGGGTTCCACAAATCAGAGTTAAATTCTCCCTGCCCCTTTGCCTCTAAGAATCCAGAACTATAAGGAAAACTGGTTAAGGATTTAATAAGATGACTTGCTTTCAGCAATTATAAATGGACAAATAAGACAAAACTAAAGTGATTTATACAGTCTGCGAAAGAGACTGGTGCTACTAAAAAGCTACTTTTACAGAATAACTTAGCCCTAGAAAGGAGTTAATAAAAATAAAATAAAATAAAATAAAATAAAATAGAATAGAATAAAATAAAGCTTTGTGAGACTAGTTATATGATCTTTAAGCAGGCATGAGCTTGTCAGTCATATGGGCAACTATAGCATCAGGGGTTAACACAATAAGTTTTTAATTTAAGATTTATTTATCAATGGAATGATACTGTCATTCCTTTACTCCTGAATAACTTATGGTAACATCAAAAAATAGGTGAGATTGTTTTGTAAATGATAAATTCTGTAAAGTAATTGAAATTAATGGAAAATGATTGTAAAATATTGATATTTATGTGTAAGACTTATTAAAAAGGATCTGTTTGCAGCAGATAAGGTATAGATCATAAAAGAATTCAAATCCAAGGCGTTTTCATTCTTTAAAACTCCTGAGAGAACTTTAGAATATGTCTACTGCCATGTGTCTCTCAACAAAATGTGAGCTATGGCTAGAAACAGCTCAGTCACTCAGAGGTGAAACATAATTCCTGTCACCAATTTATTGTGACAGTCTCTCATCTGTATAGTCTCAGTGTAATTCTCACTGCCCCGAAGATTCAAAATTATATACACAGATACAGAAAGTATTATTTTTGGCCTAGTTTTCTTATGGAAAATGTTTAGATATATGTGGAGAACAAAAATTTATCTACAAATGAGAAAAATTTTAGTTACACTGTTAATATGATACAAGAAAACAAAGCCTAATAACTTAATGATTTAGGAAAATAAAATGTCTGAGACAGTGGTAGTTGAAATATCTGTTTCTCCATATGGTGATATGAAATACTGCCACACGTATTTCTCTAGCACCACAGTGAGAAATCGTCACTGAGTGACATTTCCTCCAGCAGTGTTTGATTATTCATCAATAAATATGAGTATGCAAAGGTGTTTGAATTGAGCTTTCAGATGTAATTTTCAAATGAATGTTTTTTATAAATATAAATTCCAGGTCCTTAAGCATTTTTAAAACACAATGCTGAATAAGCAGACACTCATATTTTGGAACTGATAGATAAGGCATGTTATTTTGTAGCCACTTCAAGCACTATCAATCAAACTGGTAAAATATATTTGAGAACCGAAGACGAGGCAAAGGCTTCATGTGAAATATGAAAACTGAGAATAACCATATATTATATGAGGCAAAATTATCCCTTTGTCCCTATTATTTCACACAACCTAACTATTTAACTATAAATAATTCTCATCCAACCTACAAGCAATGTTTATTAATACTGCACTCTGACTCTCTGTAAGGAAAATTATTCTTAATAATGATGAAGGGATAGACATCAATATTCGTTTCAATATCATGTTTTAATAGGATTTATTTTTGATTAGTTGCCATTCACTGAGCCTTTAGATAATCTTTCTTCATTAGTGCTCCATTTCCTATTAACTTGTTTTCTTATTTCTCAATCAGTTATATTACCTGCTCAACAACTGTTGCCCAAGTCTCTAAGCTGAACGGGAGTGCTGTGATGTTGGAGTAAGACAGATAACAGTAAAATTTCTGTTGTTGGGGACTATGTTTATGCTGACAAAGTTACCAAACTTTCTAAGCCACAATTTCCCCCTTCTTTACAATGGGGATACTAAAAATGATCTACTTCACAGGGTTACTCTAAGCGCTATAACCTATTATGTTCAAAAACAGCCTAACACTCTGGTGATAAATAATGGGTTAAATGAATAATTGCTGTTATTAATATAATTTTTATATCATTATGCTTGAATGCATGATGTTCCCAAATATCATCTTATACCCCAAAATAAGAGAAACTACTGTCTGGAGCTCATTTGCAATCATGTCACATTGTTTTATTTCACAATTCATAAACAATTAACTATATTTCTAGAGCTATGATTTGGAAGACTCATTAAAGGAGGGTTATGGCACATCTGAAAGGAATTTATAGATTTACCTTTCATATTTTTGTGATGTTTGTGCTGTTTTCCACTTAGAACATTGTGTCCAGATCATATTTTATAAATACTTGTATACCATTTGAAACATTAAATATCTATTTAGATAATTCTCTGGTGAATTATAAGAGAATGAATGAGAAGCATAGACATAAACTTGTCCTATGAAATACAAGTGTATCAGCTTTATTAGAAAAGTTGTATGGTAATAATAAAAGAAAAACCTGAAAAAATAGTTTGTGACATTTTGTCACATTTAATCTATTAGTTTTCTCTATTCCTGTGGAGAATTTCATTAAGAACCTTGTATTCTCTATTACTAATGGAAAAGTGATTGACAGTATCTGGCAGATATTAATTCTTCATAAAAATTATCCATTTGTATATACAGAAGTGTATTAAAGTAGTTATACAAACATATGTATATATACAGATATATGTTTGTATGTGGATTATTTTAACCCACATAAATTTAATCAAAACTAACTACAACACACTTGTTTTTCATAATAATTATTGACTTACAAATATTGACAAACCTGTAATAGAGCTAAACAGGAAAACAAGAAAATAGAACACATTTTTCTATAATATTTGTAAAGATCTTAAGATCTGGAATATTAAAAATTTAGGATGGCTGGCGCTGCAGCTCAATAGGCTAATCCTCCACCTACAGCACCGGCAACCTGGGTTCTAGCCCTGGTCGGGACGCTGGGTTCTAGCCCTGGTCGGGACGCCTGGTTCTGTCCCGGTTGCTCCTCTTCCAGTCCTACTCTCTACTGTGGCCTGGGAGTGCAGTGGAGGATGGCCCAACTGCTTGGGCCCTGCACCCGCATGGGAGACCAGGAGAAGCTCCTGGCTCCTCGCTTCAGATCAGTGTGGTACGCAGGCTGCAGTGTGCTGACCATGGCAGCCATTTGGGGGTAAACCAACGGAAAAGGAAGACATTTCTCTCTCTCTCTCTCTCACTGTCCACTCTGCCTGTCAAAAAAAAAAAAAAAATAGGGGTTTTCTTAAATTCTGTTTTTTCATTGTGAAGCTTATTGTTCAAGGACTATGGATTTTCTTTTTTTTTATCTTTTATTTAATGAATATAAATTTCCAAAGTACGACCTATGGATTACAATGGCTTCCCCCCCATACCGTCCCTCCCACCCACAACCCTCCCCTTTCCCACTCCCTCTCCCCTTCCATTCACATCAAGATTCATTTTCGACTATCTTAATATACAGATGATCAGCTTAGTATACATTAAGTAAGGATTTCAACAGTTTACTCCCACACAGAAACATAAAGTGAAAAATAATAGATGATTTTTTTTTTAAATGATGATGAAATCAGAGCAGACCTATTGTCATGTTTAATCACAGTGAGAGTCAAGTTGGGAATTGATAATTTTTTTTTTTTTACAGAAGATCAGTTTAGTATGCATTAAGTAAAGATTTCAACCATTTGCACCCCCATAGAAACACAAAGTGAAATATACTGCTTGAGTACTCGTTATAGCATTAAGCCTCAATGTACAGCACATTAAGGACAGAGATCCTGCATGAGGAGTAAGTGCACAGTGACTCCTGTTGTTGACTTTACAAATTGACACTCCTGTTTATGGCATCAGCAATCTCCCTATGCACCAGTCATGAGTTTCCAAGGCTATGGAAGCCCCTTGAGTTCTCCGACTCTTATCTTGTTTAGACAAGGTCATAGTCAAAGTGGAGGTTCTCTCCTCCCTTCAGAGAATGGTACCTCCTTCTTTGAAAACCTGTTCTTTCCACTGGGATCTCACTCACAGAGATCTTTTTGCCAGAGTGTCCTGGCTTTCCATGCCTGAAATACTCTCATGGGCTTTTCAGCCAGATCCGAATGCCTTTAGGGCTGATTCTGAGGCCAGAGTGCTATTTAGGACATCTGCCATTCTATGAGTCTGCTGAGTATCTCACTTCCCATGTTGGATCACTCTCCCCTTTATTTATTCTATCGGTTAGTGTTAGCAGGTACTAGACTTGTTTATGTGCTCCCTTGACTCTTAGTCCTTTCATTATGATCAATTGTGAACTGAAATTGATCACTTGGAATAGTGAGATGGCTTTGGTACATGCCACCTTGATGGGATTGGATTGGAATCCCCTGGTATGTTTCTAACTCTACCAATTGGGGCGAGTCAGCTTGAGCATGTCCCAAATTATACATCTCTTCCCTCTCTTATTCCCACTCTTATGTTTAACAGGGATCACATTTCAGTTAATTTTCAACACTTAAGAATAACTGTGTGATAATTACAGAATTAAACCAGTCATATTAAGTAGAACAGACAAAAAAAAAATACTAAGAGGGATAATGCATTAAGTTGTTCATTAACAGTCTGGGCTATGCTGATCAAGTCACCATTTCTCATGGTGTCCATTTCAATTCAGGAGGTTTCCTTTTTGGTGTTCAGTCAGTTGTCACCGATCAGGGAGAACATATGGTATTTGTCCCTTTGGGACTGGCTTACTTCACTCAGCATGATGTGTTCCCAGGATTCCTCCAATTTTGTTGCCAAATGACTGGATTTCGGTTGTTTCTTACTGCAGTATAGTACTCTAAAGAATACATATCCCATAATTTCTTTGTCCAGTCTACCGTTGATGGGCATTTAGGTTGGTTCCAGGTCTTGGCTATTGTGAATTGTGCTGCAATAAACATTAGGGTGCAGACCGCTTTTTTGTTTGTCAATTTGAACTCCTTTGATTAAAATCCAAGGAGTGGGATGGCTGGATCAAACGGTAGGGTTATCTTCAGGTTTCTGAGGAATCTCCAGACTGACTTCCATAGTGGCTTGACCAGTTTGCATTCCCACCAACAGTGGGTTAGTGTCCCTTTTTCCCCACATCCTCGCCAGCATCTGTTGTTGGTAGATTTCTGTATGTGAGCCACTCTAACTGAGGTGAGGTGAAACTTCATCGTGGTTTTGATTTGCATTTCCCTGATTGCTAGTGAACTTGAACATTTTTTCATGTGCCTGTTGGCCATTTGGATTCCCTCTTTTGAAAAATGTCTATTGAGGTCCTTGGCCCATCTCTTAAGTGGGTTGTTGGTTTTGTTTTTGTGGAGTTTCTTGATCTCTTTGTAGATTCTGGTTATTAACCCTTTATCTGTTGCATAGTTTGCAAATATTTTTTCCCGTTCTGTCGGTTGTCTCTTCACTCTCCTGACTGTTTCTTTTGCAGTACAGAATCTTCTCAATTTGATGCAATCCCAATAGTTGATTTTGGCTTTGACTGCCTGTGCCTCCCGGGTCTTTTCCAGAAATTCTTTGCCTGTGCCAATATCTTGAAGGGTTTCTCCAATGTTCTCTAATAACTTGATGGTGTCAGGACGTAGATTTAGGTCTTTAATCCACGTTGAGTGGATTTTTGTGTAAGGTGTAAGGTAGGGGTCTTGCTTCATGCTTCTGCATGTGGAAATCCATTTTTACCAGCACCATTTATTGAATAGACTGTCCTTGCTCCAGGAATTGGTTTTAGATACTTGGTCAAATATAAGTTGGCTATAGATGTTTGGGTTGATTTCTGGTGTTTCAATTCTGTTCCATTGGTCTATCCATCTGTTTCTGTACCAGTACCATGCTGTTTTGATTACAACTGCCCTGTAGTATGTCCTAACATCTGGTATTGTGATGCCTCCGGCTTTGTTTTTGTTGTACAAGATTGCTTTAGCTATTCGAGGTCTCTTGTGCCTCCATATGAATTTCAGCATCATTTTTTCTAGATCTGCGAAGAATGTCTTTGGTATCTTGATTGGGATTGCATTGAATCTATACATTGCTTTTGGGAGAATGGACATTTTGATGATGTTGATTCTTCCAATCCATGAGCATGGAAGATTTTTCCATTTTTTGGTATCCTCTTCTATTTCTTTCTTTAAGATTTTGTAATTCTCATCGTAGAGATCTGTAACAAGGACTATGGATTTTCAATTAAAAATAAAAGTATTTGAGAGGTTCTCTGATACATTTCCCCCCAAAAAAGATTTGTGTATCTGCTATTTCACAAGGTAGTTTATTTCCTTTTTAAATATTTTAATGATTTCACCACTAGGAGCAAAATCTATACTTATTCTAGTCCTGTAATCCTAATCCTAGATATTTGAATGATAGCAAATGAATTCTTCAAATCTAGTAGGACCTATGAACAATTTTGAAATTAACATATTTGTATTAAAATATAATATACATTTATAAATATTTTAAAATGATGTGGACATTTGTGTGTTCTGTTTTAGATAAGTCTTTCACATGACCTTTCATTTACTACTTAAGATAAAATCTATCTATTCCTTCTTTTTGGAAAATATTCTTATTTAAAATCCACAACTCTTTTCCAAAACTAGAAGTCACTTGAAATAATATCAGTCTCTAATTTTTGTTCACTGCTTGTTTATGAAAAGGGATCAGTGCCAGACATGATATCTTGGTCACTAGGAAGGAAGACTAGATTTTATGATGACATGATTTTGAGATCAGGATAGTGGTAGCACATGTTGTGTACATTCAACCATCCGGCTTTATAGCTTAAATTCATTTAATTCCTAGTCGCTCAAAATCCTCAGAATGTATAGATTTGAAAAATTCTGTGTAAATTTAGTGAAGCTAGGCAAAAAGCTCCATAATGATAAATGTCTTTGTCTACTTGTTTTGTTGTTAAATCCAAGCCTAGAGCCTATTCTAATCACTCAAAAGCTATTTAATGAGTAGGCTAATGAATGCTCAAATAGATAATAACTAGAGAAGCTGGGAATCAAGTCTCACATTCTCATTTAGAACTGGGATGTTTTAAAGAGAAACATGCAGGGCTGGCACTGTGGGGAAGTGGGCTAAGCCTCTTCCTGCTGCGCAGGAATCTCATATGGGTGCCAGTTTGAGTTCCAGCTGCTCCTCTTCCAATCCAGCTCTCTGCCATGGCCTGGGAAAGCAATAGAAGATGGCCCAAGTGCTTGGGACCCTGCACCCACATGGGAGACCCAGAAGAAATTCCTGTCTCCTCGTTTTGGATCAGTCCAGCTCCAGCCATTGCAGCCATCCGGGGAGTGAACCAGCAGATCGAAGACCTTTATCTCTATCTCTTCCTCTGTCTGACACTTTGCCTCTCAAATAAATAAATAAATAAAATGTTTTAAAAAAGGAGAAAAGAAAAATGCTGAAGTGTGACAGGCTGTATTTTTTAAAGTGAATCAAAACAGTGACTCCCATTCCCATAATGTCATGAAATTTGACATACTTGCATTTTCCTAATGGCACCTTTTGTTTGACTGTTTGCCACTTATATATCTTCTTTGGAGAAGTAGCCATTCTAATTTTTAGACCTTTTTTTAAAATTTGACATCTTTATCTTATAAAATTATTTTCTAACAGTTCATTAAGATATAATTAACATACTATAAAATTCCATTTAAAGTATAGAAAATAAGTCATTTGCTCTATGTTGATCCATAGTCAATAAATTCCAATCAAAATACAAGCAGATGTTTTTAGAAGATTTAATTATTCAAAAGACAGAGTTACAGAGAGAAGTAGAGACAAAAAGAGAGGTCTTCCATCTGCTGGTTCACGCGCCAAATGGCTGCAACTGCCAGAGCTGAGTGGATCCAAAAGATCTGAAGCCAGGAGCCAAGAGCTTCTTCCAGGCCTCCCACATGGGTACAGGGGCCCAAGAACTTGGGCCATCCTCTGCTGCTTATCCAGACACATTAGCAAGGAGCTGGATTGGAAGTGGAACAGCCAGGACTCGAACTAATACCCATGTAGGATGCTAGTGTTGCAGACTAGGGCTTTAACCTACTGCGCCACAGCACTAGCCTCAACAAGCAGGTGTTTTACAGACAAAAATTATATTTATATAGAAATTACATAGAAATTCAAACTCTTACAATTACCCAAAACAATTTTGAAATGGAGAAACAAAGTTGTATGTCTCATTATATGACTCAGGCTTAAAATGAAGCTTCTTTAAAGCCAACAGTGAAATATTGGCACAGGCTACTCACATATATCAATAGATTCCTCATATAATATGTGGATTTGTGATAATGTCATAAGGAATTAAATTGGTTAATAATGGTCATCACACCTATAAAATAACTGAAAATGAATTGTACATCTAAATCTATAACTATTAAATACAATGTAGATAACTTATATTCCTTGAGTTAGTCAAATATTTATTAGAGAATGCATAAAACTAAGGAAGGAAAAATGATCAGTTTCTCAGAAATGTTAAAGGTCAGATGCTTCTCTCGGTGGTTAAATTGCCTCTTGGGACACCTACATCCCCAGTTGGAATGCCTGGTTTACTTCTGCATCCAACTGAACTTCCTGTTAATACACAACCTGGGAGGCAGAAGGTGATGGTTTAAGCTTAGTCTCTGCCATCCATGTCAGAGACCAGATGAGTCCCAGGTTCCAAGTTTCAGGCATTGGACTGGCAGAGTTGGCTGTTTGGGCATTTGGGGAGTGAACAAGCAGATGGAAGATCTCTCTGTCTCTGTCTTTCAAATAAAATGAAAATAAATACATTTAAAAATGTAAAAAAAAAATTAAGCATAATCTCATGAGCTAACCAAGCATGAGAGTTCAAGCCACAAATTGGGAAAAATGTATACAAATAATATGTTGGGAAAAGGTGCTATGAACTTTTAAAATGAAAACTAACCATCAACTAAAATGCATAAAGGATTGAGCCAACAAAGAAGATACCCAGAGAATATATAAGAGTAAAAGTTTCAAATAAGAATATGAAGAAATTCTCACTTCTATTAGTTATTGGAAATTCAGATTTTAAAAAGTGGGATACCGGCTGGCGCTGTGGCCTAGCAAGTTAAGCTGCTGCCTGCAGTGCCAGCATGCCATATGGGTGCCGGTTTGAGTCCCGGATGCTCCACTTCCAATCCAGCTCTCTGCTATGGCCTGGGAAAGGAGTAGAAGATGGCCCAAGACCTTGGGCACCTGCACACACATGGGAGATCCGGAAGAAGTTCCTGGCTTCTGGCTTCGGACTGGCACAGCTCTGGCCATTGCAGCCAATTGGGAAGTGAACCAGCGGATGGAAGACCTTTCTCTCTCTCTCTCTCTCTGCCTCTTCTTCTCTCTCTGTGTAACTCTAACTTTCAAATAAATAATAGATTTTTTTTAAAAAAAAAGGTGGGATACTACTTCATATCTGATCACATTGATAAAGAAGACTGGAAACATAAAATATTGGCAAGAATATGGAGCAACTATTACTTTCATGTATTGCTATTGGGAATCCAAAATTTTAGATGCAATTTGAAAAGCAGTTTCTCAATGTATTATATAATTAAATGTACACATAACCTAGCACCCACCACTGTGTACATTTCCAGTTATCCATCCAAAATAAAGGTTAATATGTTCAAATGCTTGTACCTGAATATAATGCTTTATTTATAATAACTTTAACTTTTAATAATACAAATTCCCATTAACTGGTTAATGATGAATTGTTGCATATCCATACAATGGTATACTATTCCGCAGTAAAAGGAAATTGGATGTTTATACACTTACAAACCTGGATAAATATTGAAAGGCTAATGCTGAGAAGCCAATCATAAAACACATCATTATGGATGATTCATTTTTTTGAAGATCTTGATAAGGAAAGCATATAGTGACAAACAGCAAGGTAGTGATTGACATTGTTCATCTTAGAGATAATGCAAAGGGACTTTAGGAAACATTTCAAGTATTAAGATCATTATTCTAGGTTATTGTAATGGTTACTAACTTTGTGTGTCTTTTTTTAACAGAAAGTTGGGGTGAGGGAGAGAGACAAGTCACTGAACTATTTACTTAAATTAGTGAATTCTGTCATGCAACTTATATACGAATAAATATATGGAAAAATGCATATGGATAACTGTTTTGAGGCATAACAAATAGGAAAAACCTCTAACTCTTGGAATTCAATTTATTTAGAGTGTCTCACAATAGAATTTCTAAACTAACAACAATAGTAGATATGCCATAATTCATAGCTTCTTTAAGGCATGAATGAGTTGAAGATTTCCTAGAAACTTAAATGAATTAATTATATAAATGGCCAGCATTTTTTACAAATTAAGAGGCACATCTGCTTTTATCCTTGGTGCAGCTATATGAGACAAAACAAATCTTTCCAATTGAGGCCTGGTAAAACCCAGCCATTTATATAGTACCTCAGGAGATAAAGCTTTCTTGCTAAATTCATTGTCCCTGATGATATGACACAGAGATTTCATTCTTCAATCTGTGGGTTGATAAGCACCTCATCAATCTCACCAGACCTACCTTGCATCCTTTACCTGACCCCAAAAATGACTTTGCCATACTACATCATTGATCTGAAAGCAATCCCATTTCTAATACCACTCAGCAATACAACATTCTCAAAGAGCAACACTAGTTTTGAGTTCAGATTGGGACTCCATCTCAGTTGAAAAATTGTTCACAAGGAGACATTTACTTGGTATTAAGAAAGGAACAAAACAGAGAGCACATGTCAAAAGCAAAGCAGTGGTCTCAGAATCCCCAGTTGCAGCCACTGACTGATGGTAGGCACTGAGGATATACATGATCGTATGTGAAGAGGCAGAGTGAGAATGTTACCTTACCACAGTTAGGACCAGGCTGCTCAATGCTGAAGAGTCAATACACCAGACAGGATGTTTGATGAGGGAGACAATACATATATTAGACCAGCTACCCAGAGGAAGGTGTGCCCTGCAGTCTCAAATAAGCAGTTTCCCAATTTGCAAGCTAACAGGACAACTTTTAAAGGAGAAAGTATAGTTGTTAGGATTTGTGAGGGGGAGGTGGTAAGGGAACACAATGGGGCCTGCAGTTCTTAGGTAGACAGTCTAGGTCATGTGATAATAGAGGGGATTGAAATTATGCCTTCACAGAAAT